CCATAGAACGAGGTGTACTGCGCGGGGCGCAGAAGTGTGGTCGCACAGGATATGCAGGATCAGTGATAAACATCCCATTTCTGAGTTTGCAGGAAGCACAGGGCTGTGGGTATGCTTCTCTATTACTCCTCTTCAATGCCGTGCATTCGCAGCAAATATAGACATCGGTTACCTGGTCAGAAAGCTGTGTTTTGTAGTGGAATTCATAGCATAATTCGTGAGCTTCTGGAAGAATATAGAGGGCGACATCCCTTCCTCGTTGCTGTGATGGCACGAAAATAGCTGCTACTGGAGCAAAAGCCATGTCAGAATGCTGCTATGACATTGCGAACAATCTGAGGCTACTTGAACCCAATCCATCTTATCGCGCCATTTTCCTTTCTCTCTGTGCACCCTCCTTTGTAGAAGAATGAGTATGGTTCCCAGCCACCACAACCATTCACGTGAATGCATAGTCAGAACTCGGCGTGTAGTGAGAGCGCAGGCGTAGTGGCCGACGGCGACGAGTCAGCGAAGAAGAGTCATCACTCAGACAGGCAGAGAAACTAGGGAGCCACTTCGATAAGAGAGTGCAGAGAGGGACGCAAAATCGATGCGTTTAAAGGGATTAAGTTTTAGCTGTCCGTAGACCCGTTCAGAGGGACTGAGTAAAGTTGCCCGTGAACCGTGGTCACCCGCGCTATCCTCAAGGTGCAGCATTTGTTTCGACGTCAAGATCCCAAAACACAGCTCCGCTTCTGCAGCAGCGGACCATTCTTCCCATACACGGCAACGACCAGGATCCACGGGAGTAAATGTGCGCTTAGTTTCCGGAAGAAGCACATCTTTTCAAAGTTGCACTTCAACCACTACTTGGATGATAATATGCATTGGTATCTGACAAAATACTACTGTATATGTCGCTATTCTCGATAGTAGTGACGAATCATAGAAGGTAGTTGACCTCAGCAACATTGCCTCCTTCCCGACAACAGTTTTACGGAGATCACTTTCATAAATCATGCAATCGAGATATGAGGTAGTCGGAACCTACATAGCTAAGTCGTGAAAAAACGTGGGCGGAGTAGATAAGAATCAGATGAGATTTTCCCTACTGTTGTTTTGATTTGTGGTTACCGAGAACGAGAACCTTGCTGTTATCTTTCTATTCTTTTGATCCAGTATTTCGCCTCGTTGCTCAACCAGTTCGCCGCTCCTGTGAGATATGGGAAGTCCGGGCTACGTACATCATTTTAACGTGGCAACAACAGCACTTTTGGAAGGACATCGCAATTTCAGAACATTTGCAACCATAACATTGCCCAGTACAATAGAGGATAACCCTTGTATCGAATGAAAATATCCTGCGAACAAGCGCATCTTACGCCATGTTCAAGTAAGGAACGCACCCACGCCCTCTCCTCGCTGGGATGTGGACTGTAATTAATTCATTGAACGCCGTGAAGATTCTTTGAGTATTGCAGCTAAATGTGACTATTACGCCAAGATAGCATGTGATAATGGAGGAGTTCCGAATCCCTACAATTGCGATGAATGCATTTGTCCACATGGCTACGGCGGAACGTACTGTGATGAGAGGGTAAGAAGATATTTTTGTAGATGCTCAATAATTATCTTATCGTGATTACAGGAAAGCATCCTTATAGAAAAAGGCTCGCCTCATTGATATCCCCCGCAATCTTCTACAAAATGGAAAATAAACTTCTTCCGGTATTATCCCTCTCTTCCCCCAACCTCCCTGCCCAATTTTTTGACGGAAGCGCTTCAGTCTCTCGTTCGACGCGATCAATCGCGCGAGCTTTAGATGTACAAAAGTAAAACCTAATCCCAAATCTCGATTCAAGGCTGTTCTGTGGACTCTTATTTACAAGACATATACATAGTCCGCTCATGACACGCCATTGAAGGGTGTATGAGACTATCAGCCCCCCAGATGTCGATGTGTCGTGGTCCCCGCCCAAACATGCCCGGGAATGGAGATACAGGGCCGTGAAACACGCTAATTCTTCCATGCTCCGCCCACTGCCTTTTTACGGCGCAGATTCCCGCCGTTCATAACATCCGTTGCAAGCGCGCCTGTCGCGTGCGGCTCCTTGGCACTTTGCCAAGTCCTTTAATTGCGCTCTCAAATACGAGTAAAACGCAATTTCCTGATGCGGATAACATTGGAGGTGCTACAAAATAAGAACAGAAGATGATGACAAGGGGCAGAACTCAAGAGCAACTCGGCTGCATCTGCAGTATCCATCAAGGGCCGCGCATTCCACAAAACATGAAAATAAAAACAGCCCAAGCGTCCCACTCGTTTGTTCTAAGTATTTATGGCTTTGGCGCCGGATCGTAGAAATTTACAGGCCAGTTTATCTAATTTGCCTTTCCTTGATTTTTTCATTTTTGTTTTGTTTACATTTACATCGTTGTGCTTCATTTCTAGCCTGTGTCATCTTCATCTCCTTGTACATGGATTTTGAAGCATGAGCAACACCTTAAATTTTATTCGCATCAGGAAATTGCGTCTTGCTTGTATTAAACTAACGAGTATGCCGTTTTTATTTTCATGTTTCGTGGAAATACGTGGCCTCCGAGGGATGTTGCAGAAGTGGCACAGTCGCTTTTAGGTTCTGACCCTCGTCATCATCTTCTGCTCTTATTTTGTAGCACCTCCAATGTTATCCGCATCAGGAAATTGCGTTTTACTTGTATTTGAGAGCGCAATTAAAGGACTTGGCAAAGTGCCAAGGAGCCGCACGCGACAGGCGCGCTTGCAACGGATGTTATCAACGGCGGGAATCTGCGCCGTAAAAAGGCAGTGGGCGGAGCATGGAAGAATTAGCGTGTTTCACGGCCCTGTATCTCCATTCCTGGGCATGTTTGGGCGGGGGGACCACGACACATCGACATCTGGGGGGCTGATAGTCTCATACACCCTCAATGTGTATGAGCGTACTATGTGTCTTTAAACAGGGCAACGGAAGGCTGAGCAGATAGCGATTCAATGAAAAAAAACTATCCAGTGCTCTAAATTTGTGTTGCCTACTGTAGGACCTGATTAGAGCCTTCATCATCCGTAGAATCAACTCGATAGGAACTCCAGAGGTATCAACGGATATTCTCTGGAATTCCCTTCAATGCATGGAACTGCACAATCGTGTTGGTGATCTCCATTGACCTCAAGTCTTCAAGTCACAGATGCCTGATAGGGTTGAGTTGGAGGCTTTTATTGAGTCATATTGTCATCCGGAAACTGGCCTTGGGTGCCAGAACCTGGCTTTTGTACTTCTATGTCTGGTTGGGGTCGTTTTTACTGATTTGAAAACAGTCCTTCCAGGCTCCATGATATAGTTTATCTATATCCACAACATGTCGGTACACAAGCTAAGGAAAATCAGTAATAATCCGATGGAAAATTCTCTTTTCTTGGCCGTCTCCAGGTTTTTTTTTAAAACCGCAGGCTGTACTTCGCGGCGTCGAAGATGCGCCGATTGATTGGCGCAGTTAATGGCGCCGATCCGAAGCGCTGCCCGTTGCGAAAGTCCATCTAACATCAGTCATAACTCTGCATACTTCTACGCTTGTTCGAAGAAATGATCAAAATCGGAGCAGAAGCTCCTGTTGGAATTGAGAGCGAAAATTCAAGCGTATATATACCATAGCGGAAGCAAACCGTTTTCATATCGCCTACAAAGTGAGCGCTCCATCACCACTATCTATGTCCCAGCACTTCATTTTCTGCAAATTTGATCGCTCATAACTCGCCGCCTAGATCTCAACACTCTCGTTGTTCATTTTTACATTCAGCACCCAGACTCTGTCGATACACATGAATCTCCATCTGGAAATTCATAAAGAGTTGAAAGCATTTTCTTGTAAGAAGCACAAATTTTCGCGACTGCCCTTTTCATCGTTTGGTTATCCACGGCATCCTGCAAAACTCCCTTGTCGCCCCATAGTGGGCGTTTTTACGCAACTTTGAAAACTGGGCATCACCGACTGCTTGTGCAACTTCCTGCCAGCCGAAGTGTTTCTAACAAGGACATAAACGACTAAGCAACCAAAAAGTTCTCATACTCTTGACATCATGGATGTGTTTAACGAGTCAGTAATGGTCCTTATCTTTGTCTTCGACAGCGCAATCTTCCCTGAAGTAAACAGCATTGTTACGTACTTCCAATCGTTATTGGTAGCACTTATTTAGTTTCGAATGCAAATAAAATAATGCACATTGGTGAATTCATATTATTTTTTGGTCATTTGGCTCATGCACGTTTTTCTAATCCTTGATCACAGGGAATGTTTAGGCCTTCCGGGTGCGGTGCGAAACTCTCGAAGGCGTCTGCTGAGTGGGAAAACAAAGAAATTCACTATAGATCAGCATGTTGCTGACGGCTTTGAACACAGCACTTGCAATCACTGGATAACGGTGAGTTCTTCAAGATGTGGTGCTTCTTTGCGCTTCGGTTCGTGCAGAACTTTCGAGTCTCATACAATGCAAGGTTTCAAAGTTTATCCCCCTTTAGAACAAACAATGCGTATGTTCTCTTTCTTCCATTCTTTGAAGTGTACTGTCACGGAAGAGGCATTTACTGCATCAGGAATCTGAAGCCTCAAAGAACGTAAAAACCCCACAAGTGATCCAGAGAAAATGACGTCCAGCGAAACCCCCACATGTTTTTATAGTACCACAATGACTACGGAAGAATGGTATGAAAGCTTGCGCGGACGCAGTCAAGCAGATTATGTGAGAGTTCAGCTGTATGACTCACGCTCGATGTCATCTTCGAGTCCCGAATGCGCCGTTGAATCAACTAATGCTAATGTCAGTAGCTCACAGATATTTACTCAGCGGTTGCATATCTACATGTGTTGGATACTGAAGACATCAAAGCGCTCAATCAGTTCGTAATTGTCCTTTTCCGTCCAAGTAGCTTAGGCAGACAAGGGAAAATAACAGACGATACACTAAAATGTACAAAAGAGAACATGGTAGGAGGTTTTTCAAGACCAGTGCTTCCGGGGTGAGTTAGTCGCTTATCACCTTTACTGTCATCAGCGAAAAGTTAGACTGAGCCACGTCACAAGGTTCCAGGACATTTCAAAACAATCTACATCTCCACCACCGTGGCCACTGATCCTTGCCAGTCTGACGTGTACAAGTGCGCAACCAGAGTAGTGCACCATCTTCACCAATCAAAACTGCACGGGAACAGGGCTGGAAAGTGATGATGCCCGAGTGGCAAGCATTTTACCGCTGCCGCACAAACCTGGGCACGCCATCGTGGGGTATACCCCAATATGGGGTCGTATTTGACCATTGAGGAGGAGGGGGAGCCGTAATGAGGGTGACAGCCGTTGCCGAACACAGCCAGAACATAGCCACAACAGGTGACAGCCATTGCAAAGGTGTCAGTGAACCCTGGGGTAGCGAAACTGCTTTATAGAGAACCCGGGTGTGTGAAAAACACCACGAAATGATTGACTATCACTTTTAACAAGCTAACATAAGTTCGTAAATGCGGCAGTACAGCTTGAACAAGGGCGTAGGTAGGCCATGCACATTACTAAACCTTATGAACACATCTGCTAGCGTGGACAAACATCGCGTAGGAGTTGCACAATTCCACTACCCTGTGCGTGGGGGCCTAATAATGTATAGTGCACCCAGAGATGAAACTAATAGGCGCTAAACCAAGCACTGCCTAGTCCTGTTTCACTGCATTCTTGTGTATTCAAATAAACTCTCTCGAAATAGGCGCACAGAAAAAGGGTTACTTCCGCAGCTCGGTTTTCCCCGATAAGGCCTCTACGCATTCATCTCATGAACCCCGAAAACTCCAAAAACAAATGTTCTCTGAAAAAGAGAGGGAACTCTCCCTTATCTCCCTCTTATCCGAAGCTTCCTATCGCGGGGAAGTTATCTAAGCTCGCAGCATCTGACGGATAGATGCCGCCCTTGAACGTTTCTATGCGCGGGTGAATTGGAACAAAACAATGAAGATGAAGCGCAGCACCCGCACACTGCAAATCTTTTCTTCGTTTCTTTTCTTGAGGTGTTTCGTGTTTCACTCTTGCACATTTTCCATGGCCAGTGCAAGGAATGCTAAGAAAACATGGAAACATACATAGGTTCCCTCCCATATATGCTCCAGTGAATGCTTGAGAAGAGAAAAGCCCTGCCGACGCAGCTAAAAAGGCGCAACAACAAACCGTAGAAATGGAGCCTCGTAAGACTCAACCACAATCCCCAATGCATGGTGTGCTCTGGCAGAAACAGCCCCAGGCCCAGCCGTAGCCGAGAGCGCTATTTGTCCGCGTTTCACCTTTCTGGTTATTTCCTAGTGCTGAGTGCTTGGAGGTGTACGGCTGTCTTCCATGAAGGGAGAGGAGAGAGAGAGAGCGCAGAAGAAAGCAGACTGCACCGGACGATTCTACTTTTTTACGCTCCAAGGCTGTGTGCAGACATTGCGATAACGCAGTGCGACCTTCATCATCGAGAAGTCTGAACGCGGTCTACGCCTGCACCATTGAATGGTTTTTAGCGATTATGATTCCAATGCTCAAAGCCCTTCGGGTTGGTTTCGAATTTGAGATAGCATCGATTGCTTTCAGGCACCATCAGGTAAGTGGGTCGAAATTCGTATCATTGGATTGCCAACCAAAAAGTGCACCAACGGTTGTGTCTTTGCTGCAATGGAACCTAAGGTTCTGGCAGATAAAAGGATGACGAATCCGAGGTAATCTTATTTGTTGAAATAATAATAATAATAAATAACAGGCACAGTTCAGTCTTGTGAACAAGTAGTTTCAGATTATTGTTGCGATGAGCAGCTCAACGAAACCCTAACTAGCAAACTCAACCCGACACCAATCTTTTCATACAGCAATGATCCCTCGTTGGAGTTCTCATTTCAATATAGATACAGAGATGACTTTTCTCATTAATCATCATAGATAAATTTCATGGGCAGACTCGCATTGTTTGTTTCATCCGCTGACAAGATATTTGTCAAAGTTGCAGCTAGGTGCTACTAATCTTACTGCGAGAAAACAAAAGAAAAAAACAAAGACAAAAGCACAGATTGGAAAAGCTCGTACCCTCTCTCACCACCCAGTTAGTAGCTTCGATGAAAGCACCGACTAAGTGACAAATGGGAGAGTTATTAGGAAGGAACCTTTCCGCTCTGTTAGCTACCATTACCATTTTCAGCTCGGTAGGTGACGCGATTCGGACGATAAGTAGTTAAGCTTGCCCGACGGTTTATTACGTTGGTTATGGCGCTGAAATTTTACGAACAATTTCCCTCCCGCCCCCAAATTTTGGCGCTTGGGCCTAGTTGAAGCTTACAGAGCTAGTAGCCCGGTAGCCAGACCTGCATGCGACTTACAGTGTTGCTAAGTCAGTGCACTTCAATGCAAAGCTAGCTTTGAGCTTTTGTATTGGATGTTATTGCAATTGCAGTAGTCGGTATTCTTTGTCGTCTTTTGTGAACTTACTACGAATAGTGAAAGTAAAGTATTTATAATCTGCTAACCATAAGTATGTGTATGCATGCGTGTGTCGAAATTAATGTCCCATTGATATCCTATCCAGGAACGGACGAACAACCGTTATTCCGTCAACCCAGAGAAATAAGTAAATTTCACATGAATGCGCGCCAGAAGATGGGTTCGGAACCATTTAAAGTTTTTCAATGATTTCATAATGGAGAAGGAAATCATTGTAATATATATAATCCGTTAAGTTGTGCATGCGTGTATGCGTGCCTGTGTGTGTGGTGTGTGTATGTGTGCTTGACCGGAAATTCATAACTTCCTTCAAAACAGCGATAGAGCGCTCAAACTGATAAGTGATGTAGGGGGTCGGGCAGGAACACTATTGGTAGGTGGCAGGAAGTGATAAGAGCTGAGATACCATAAGGAATCTCAGAAGGGGACGGTCAAAAGATCCATGGCGCTGGTCACAGCTATGGCGAGACGAAGGTTCCCAGAAGCAAGATGAGGGGCAAGCTGGGAAGTAATACTTGATTAGTGCCACTGTTCTCTCAGCAAAAGTATTTCTCCTTCCCTAAATGTTAATGCTATCTTCATTCTATCCCCTAAAATTGTTAGCGAATCATCTTCTTGCGTTCTTGTGTATCCTAAGCTGTCTGACATCAATGTAAAGTTTCATTGAGTTTTTCGTCATTGGAGTGGTGTGACAGGAGACTGACCTTTACACCCTTAGTTCGCGGGCAGTCGCCGCCACGACACCTAGCATGTGCAGCATGCAAGTCAGGGTGGGATTGATGGCACACTATGCGCATCATTGGTTAAATGTACTTGGTACCTGACTACCATATTTGCGTGGCGTTAATGGCCGAATATGGCAGTCAGGGAAAGGAATAAGTTTAGTTTTTTCCATATAACGGGTTCAGACGTAAAGTTACACAAATGTCAGGCACTATCGGGGAAAACAGCCTTGCTCCGGGTGACTGGATTGCCAACAGACAATTGCGATTATGCTGCACTGTGAATGGTATTGAGCCAAGGATTGCGGGTGACAGCACAATCATAAATCCAAGGAAGTCTAGTGATCGGAATATGTTTCACTTTTCAAAAACTATCTAGTTTTAGATACTGTTGTGAAGACCAGCTCGACAAAAGTCGAGAACAAATTAGCGAACTCAATCCGACGCCGATCTTTTCGCATAGCAATAACGATGACTCCGAGTTCACATTTGAGTACAAATACATATAAAGAATCCGTCAGCTGAGCTTGAAAAAATTTCTTGCGTAGATTGTTCTTGTTCATCGTTTGTAGCCGATATGCAGCACAGTTGACCACTTGTGAACGGGATCCCAGTGATTTAGTAGATTGTTCAGGAGCATAACAACACTTTGTTTATTGTGCAGTTGTTTCAGAGTAAGGATCCGCAGGGCGCATCGGGATGAGTGAAATGGCGGTGTCATTACAGCCCCCCCCCCCCACCTCCTCCTTTCCCTCCGGAAGGGGAATCTTAGTATGACCTCCCTTCCGCCCCAAATTGTTCACTCTAACGAAAACGATCAGGTACGTAAGGACCAGCAAGCATCGCGAGCAGTGTGATCAAAAAGCGGAATTGTTGAAGGGTAAAAAGCGCAGAGCTTCTTCTGGACGTACTGTTTCAAGTGCGAGGCACTGGGAAACGGGAGGCATGGCTCTGGGTTCATGGCAAATTTTACACGGGGATTCATGTTCCAGACGACAATAACTCCATGATACGCGATCTTTTGCAGAATCAAAAGCGTCTTCACGAAGCGCGAAGTTTTCTCTTTCTACAGGTGCTGCAGTTTTCCTGAAGACCCGTTAGTTTAGAAGATATTCTGGACGGGTGTTTTGACGAGCGGAATCTCTGCTAGTCAGAAGCTCGACTCATTCTGCGCTATTGTAAGAAAACTCATTCCTGAAGTTTGAAGGCTTTCAAAACATGTATTCCAGTCAAACTTTTGGTTATCATGGATTGATTCACATGAGCTTCCATTTCTAGCTCGTCGCAGACAGGGCCGTGAGAAATGTTACCTGAGTTGGTTTCCTCTCAACTGAACGTGGAGCTCAGACTTTGCGCTGATCAATCCTGCAATTATACCCCACCCTCTTTAGCGACCCGATGACAATTACGGCCCACTCGATGGGTTTAGTACAACGATCCTTGAAGGTACGTCAAAACATGGGCAACATCTACATCACCAACAAGGAGAACATCGGAAGCAAAGGGAAAGTGAAATGAAAAAGTGAAAGGTTCGGTGGACTCCTAATTGACGCTGAATGGAAGGCAAGTATCAGGCTGGCCCATGACTGATGGTTTTTCATTCAAACCGGAATTTCTGTGAAGAATGAAGATCTCTCACAATATTTCTGTTTTGTTTGATAGACAATTTTCTGCTGTGCAAAACAGTGTGCTTCACTTTCTGTTCCATTTTGGCTTTTGTCAACCTTAACAAATGTGGGGACGGCACAGAAGATAGTCTCTGACATCAGTTCTTGCGCTTAATTTAGCATCACATGAGCAGATGCAGCTCCCAAGTTGTAATCTATAGGACCATGTAGTGGGACTTCTTGGGACAGCTTGGAGATGGCTTGAGCGAAACATTTTGCACCTGAACATTTGGAAGGCTTGGTTGACTTTGGCGAAAGTGCACCCAGGATATGAACCCAAACTGCGCGAGTAGTAAACGTGCCACTTGTCAGTCTCCCACCTCCGCCTCACCTAGCAACCACATAGAATACGAATGTAGAACGTACATAGCGTAATTCATCCCAAACGCCCCTGAAGCGCCTGGAACGCTCCCAAGTGTTCATGTACGACTGTGAACTATTTAAAATATGGTGCTGCACTCGTTTCCAGTAGAGACATTTTTAAAAATACCGCAGTGTGGAGGACCTCTTCATATGTACCTGTGACAGAGACTGAAAATCCTCAGTCACACGCACACCTGACTCGGTCTGCTCTTTGACCGATGCGCCGAGTACGGAACTCGTCCAGGCGGCAGTTGAGGATAGCATTGGCTCCACAGATCACTATTTCGGGAGCGACTTTCAGTCTGGTGCATTGGAAATGCAAAATTGCAAATTATGACTTATATCGGTCGCATGGGAAATGACTGGTCGCACGCAGTGTTGTAGTAGTAGCAGTGCAGATGGTATTTGCACGCTTTCACCGAGACAAGAAAAGCAGACGAGTTAATCAGCGTTTTTGATCCCTCTCATTGGATCCGGAGCTGCTTTGCTGGCGCCTTAATGGATGAAACCTCATTTGATACAGTTGAGTATATTCCAGCACTCGATCCGCAAAACAAGCGGCGGGTAGCTGTTAGCGTGACGAGTGCTGCTGTCTCACCACCACAATGTGTAGAATTGTAGAATGACAAAACCAGAAGAATATTCTCCATGCGCAGCTCCTGCAGAACGTTTTGCAGACGGACTACTCCCGCCCAGGCCAACCGAGCCTTTTACCCTCCGGGAACGGTAAATTGGTACCAGATTCGTCTGGGAGGATAAGAACACTGACTTGTACATCGGCTGGCCCCGCAAGTCATTGTATAGGCCACATCGCATTCAACTAAGCTACTGTGATTCTGAATGGAAGTAAAATGCATCCTCTAAAGGGAGCGATCACAAAGACTTTATCTTTTATCGTTATGTCTCTACGGATGATGGAGAGCTATCAATTCAGCTCCCCCCCCACCCCAAATGGATAACTAACGAGTAAGCCTCACCTAGATAGGCATTGTCACCCTCGACTCGTCTTAGATGACACGCCAATCTACGAAGTAATTCCGGCTTTGTGAATAAACAGCAGACCATGGCCCGAAACCTGGTCAGATGGAATCCGTTGACTGAAGTGAAGATCGAACCGCCTCCACATTTATGTAAGCAAGGCGAATGCATAGTCAGATCCTATGCCTTGTATCAAAGGAAGATCTATTACCTGGTCTGAAGATTGAGCGAGTTCTAATCTATCAATTACTAAAGGCAGTGGCTCCAAGGTTCCTGGATATAGGCAAGGTCTGTTCCCTTGAGGTTGAATGACTAGGTGAGGCAATCAGCACGACTTGAAAGCGATGTAAGGGGCCGTACAAGGTGTTCTCGGTATGGGGATGACGCAATGAAGAAGGAATTCAAACCACTTCAATAGGTAGCGACGTTTATGGGGGGTATAAATACAAGTTTTTTTTGGGGGTCATCAGTGGTGTCTCAGCTGTTCCAGGTGAAAGGGGACCAGAATTGATTGACGCGACAATGTTGAGTAAATGATTACTGATCAAAAAAAATTGAGAAAAATGGGAAGAAATTGAGAAAATGAAAAAGAGACAGAGAAAATGATTCGTGGTTAGTTCTCATTCCCCAAACAAAGAAAAGATCTTCGTGGAAAGCGTTTTTCTGACGATGAAGAGCTGAAGGCGGCAATTAACGCACATTTTGGGGACAAGGAAAAAATATTTTCAGAGGGTATTGAAAAGTTAGTTTCCCGAGCAAACAAGTGTATTCAGGTTATAGGGGAACAAACGAGTGTATTCAGGTTATGGGGGACTGAATTGGAAAATAATTTATATCCAGAATTTCTCTGCCTTTTCCCTCACACCTATACCAAACAAACATGAACGCCCCTCGTACATGTAGCGATGAAATCCGACATTTCCGGGATGAGAAAGGAAGCAGTTTTTCCCTTGACAGCGACAACGGTCGATAAGGTGGTAAGAAGGATAAGAGGTTTTGTCGAACCGTCGTGGAGGGATCCTGGGTGAGTAGCCGTTCCTATAGTATTTGCCTATGCTGAATGACACAGAGCATCCAAAACTTGGCCTCAGCTAACGAATGCTGCCTACTACTTCACAGAAGTTCGACTTTTGGCTCGGTAAATGGGCCACGATTGACTTTCGGAACACGGCGACAGGAAGTAATCCCGGCGAATTTTCAGCACAAAAATCAAACAAGTAATCCGTCGTCATTCCGCTGGGCTCAATACGTGAACATTTCC